GGATTAAGAAGTATTATTGAATTGCATTATGGAAGTGTAAATATAAATTGACATAAAATTATTTCATTATGTCATTTGATGTTTTGCCTGATTCAAGCTCTAGTAATAAGGCTATCAGATTGACACATAGTCTGAAATCGATATGATCAGTATCATATGGAACAATGTAGCTTGGACTTCCCTAAGCTATTAAAGGTACTGTGGTATGTCCCATTTGCAGCCCTAAAACATGAAAAGATTAAATTCCAATTGCATTTGAAAGACAATACTAATTTAGAACTTCCCTGTAAACAAAAGGGCCTGAAAATGGCCTTTAGTGGGTAAATAACGACCATTAGTTGTTGAATCGTCTGATTTTCAGATCCTTTTACCGAATGGTCGTACGCTTTGTGCAGAACAAACATTCAATCAGTTTAATCTTGGCCATTACAAGTAGTGGGTTACTGATGTAGAAAAATGCTTATGTACCTGTTACATCTCATTTTATATATGTTATGATCAAAGAAAAAAAATGTCAGTCAGTCACTCAATAGTGTCTAACAGTGTAATCTAGAAGGTAAAAAGGTTTCCTTGCATAATTTGAATACTAGGACACTGCTAACGTTTAAATTTCACAGATAGGATATACATGACATATTCATAATTCCTGCAAAGTTCTACAGAATTTGATATCGGCTGCAAAAGGGACATAGTATCTTTTAAGATAAGTGTAAAGGTTATTATACTCACGTGAGGTATCGTCTGGCCTGCTCGTAGCCTATGGTCTGTATAGGAAAGTCCATGGCATCATAGAAAGTCTCAGAAATAGTTTCTACAAGATAGGGTGATGTAAACAAGGTTGATAACAATGTCCACTCTACAGACCTGCCAACCTCTGGAATTCAAAAACTGTATTTTTAATCCCAAAAGTTGTATTTTACTGAAAAAAATTGTAAGTAAATTTTTTGGAGTGGACTTGGCCCTTTACAAAAAAACTACTTCTAGAGACCCCAACTTAAAACCAAAAAAAATGGAGTCCTGAAGTAAACAAATAAAATTTCTTGCTTTTATAAATCTCCTTGCTGAAAACATTAATCCAAATGAGGTATAAATTTGTCGGTCAAGAGTTGATGAACATGATGATCAACATGATGGCAAACAAAATACGGATGTAAAAATCAAGTAATATGAATTTTGAAATAAAATTATATGGATGACTTCTGGCTAAATATAATAATAATAATAATAATAATAGATTTATATAGCGCAGCTTTTATACAAAATATATTCAGCTGCGCTGGTTAAGAGCTCCTTTTTACTAAATTCTACAAAATAAGATCACTCAGTTGAACAAATAAGTTTTTAAATTGGATTTAAAAACATTGAGAGATGGAGTGCTTCTTATTTCTATTGGCAAGCTATTCCATAATTTGGGGGCGGCAATAGCAAAAGCACGGTCCCCAAGAGTTACTTTAGTTTTGCCATGGGGAATCTGAAGCAGTAATTTATCTGTGGAACTGCGCAGGCTACGACTGTGTGATTGGACTTTGAGTTGAAGTAATTCTTTGATGTAATTAGGGGCTTGACCGCTCAATGATTTATAGACGATTAACAATATTTTGAATGAGATTCTATAATAAATATAATGATTATAATGATGATCAAAATCATGATTACAATGATGATTACGGTTTCAATTATGACCATTATGATTATGATAAATGATGATTCTGATTATAATTATGATGGTTGTGAATGTTATCCGAACCTTGACCGTGATCGTGATCATGATGAATTATGACCAGGATCATGATCAAGATTAGATCGCGATTAGATCGTGATTCGGATTACTTCTGGCAAAACATGATTATAGAGATCTAAATGTACAAGAATGCCCAACAACCCTGTCATACATGTAGGGGAAATATCTATTGAGGAAACTAGTTGAGATACTATTAAACCTGCCTTTAAATGCAACTCAAAGAGGAACAAATGGCAGTTCGTTCGGAAAAGATGTATTTTGAGAGAGGTAAGTTCAAATTTACAGAACACCACAATAATATGCGAAAGTTAGTGTGGTTGGATGAATAAGTGTGCACTTGTAAAATGGCGACCAGCTGGAATGCTCCCCATGAGTCTCCCCCCCCCCCAAAAAAAGGAGCCCTGAAGTAAACACATAAAAAACTTGCTTTTATAAATCTCTTTGCTGAAAACATGGACTGAAATAAGGTATATATTTGTTGGTTTAGAGTTGATGAACATGTTGGTAAACAAAATATGGATGTAAACATTGAGTAATATGAATTTGAAGTAAGATTGTAGAGATGACCTCTGGCAAAATATAATGATTATAATGATGATCAAAATCAATATTACAAGCAACTCAAGAGGAACAAATGGCAGTTCGTTTGGAAAAGATGTATTTTGAGAGAGGTAAGTTCAAATTTACAGAACACCACAATAATATGCGAAAGTTAGTGTGGTTGGATGAATAAGTATGCGCTTGTAAAATGGCAACCAGCTGGAATGCTCCCCAGGGAGTGTAGAATGTGCATACATTGTGTGCGGGTAAGCCTGAACCCGATGACCAGGGTAATAAAATATCTGTAAAGCGCTTAGACACATCGTTGCATCGATGTATTCGGCGCTATATAAAAGTGGAATATTATTATTATTATTATTAATATATGTACAGTACATGAATTGAAAGGGTTAGTGCAATGTAGTGCTAGTCTAACACTCAATTGAGTGTAAAGGGTTAAAATATGTGACATGAATTAACAAAATTGTTACCCAGAACCACTACCAGTCAGATAAAACAAACAAACAAACAAACAAACAAAACAAAATAACATTTAAGCTACTTCAGCTGTTAAGTTTATTATCGAAAGAAGTCCTTGTACTACATTTTGAGCACTACAAGTATGGAAACAACACCAACAGAAATAGTTAATGGAGGGAAAAAAAATCTGCTTGCATGCTTGATATGATGAAACTTAAATAATACAAATAACTTTGAAGATGAGATACTATGGTTGCATGCAATGGCGTATCCAGTAGTTGATTGGGGGGGGGGGGTGGAATTACCTTGACAGCCCCGTGTGACAGAGACATTATACTGCAAGTAGTATTTTTTTTTTCTGGGCTTTCAAACACAGGGAAATACAACGGCTTGATCCTAGGGGGCTGGATATGAAGAAAACATGTGAAGTATCCGAACAAGTCAAAGACAATGTCAAACTACGGTATTTAACTGATTACAGAGGAGAAAACTACATACACTGTAGCAGCGTTAAATTGTTAATAGCTAGATATCTAGACATGATTCATAACTAAATTTATAGAAATCTGATGAAAAGTTGGGGCAGCTTTCTTATATGGGCAAGTTTCTAACTAATACTGCATGAGGAAAAATGGTTTCTTGTATTTCTAGCCTTATATATAGGAATTAAAATGCTTTAAAAAATATAATAAAATAACCTGCAGCAGAAAGCTGAAAGAAGTGAAAGCAAAAAAAGCAAAAGAAAACAAGGCAAATGTGCCTGCGAATATATATGCCTCCGCCTAAATTCAGTACAGATGCTGGCATGAATAATTTTTGGAATTCCTAAAACCTGAATTTTCAGAAATTTACCATTATGACCTTTGACCTACTTACTGTTACATCTAATCATATCATCTTTCTAGGGTGATACATACTATAACCAGTTTTAAACCTCACACCTCAATTTTTTTGGGATATTTCGATAAAAAAGTTAAAACCTGCGATTTCATATATTGATCTCTATGATCTTTGACCTTTGATCTACTTACCCCAAAATCTAATCAGATCGTCTTCCTATAATACACAATATCACCAGGTTTGAAGCTCATACATGTACCTCTATTAGTTTTTTGAGATATCATGATAACAAGGCTAATACAAGGAATTTCATATACTAGCATATTGACCTCTATGACCTTTGACCTTTTACATACTTATTCCAAAATCTAATCAGATTGTCTTTTTATCGTGATACATACTATCACCAAGTTTGAAGTTCGAACCTCACGTGGTTTTTGAGATATTGAGGAAGCAGGACACAAGGACCGATAGACGTACAGAAAACCCCAAAATTAATGCTCCCGGCATCACCTTTGGTAAGCATAAGCACAAAAACATCCATATATCCCCAATATAAATTTGTCAGCATATATATGAGAGGCGATTTTCAACAAATAAAATATTATTGTGCTGTATGTTAGCATGAGTGTGTCTTATTATACAAATAATGAATGGTTATGAGTTCAATAGTGCGAATATGTTCATGAGTTGAAAGATTAACATTCTATTCAACGAGGCGTCAGCCGAGTTGAATAGAATTAACGTTAATCTTTCAACGAATGAAAATATTTGCACTATTAAACGAATGAAAAACATTCATTATTTGTTTTATACAACATCGAAGAAGACCTAATAGAACGTTAATCAACAAATATTATGCTTTACTCCTTATAAAGATAAATTACAGTTCGAGTCAAGCCTTCTCAATTACATGCAGATTGCCTTCGCGTCAGATACACGCAGGGATACGCGCGCGCACATGCAGCAGAGAGATACGCAGTCTGCATATAACCAAAAATGCACGGCGCATATAACCAAAAATGCACGACCGTGCAATATACCATCTATTGAATATCATGTGACCAACAATCGTCCAATCAAATGACAAGGATCCACGTAGGTGTTGTATAAAGCATAATATGTTAATTCAAGTTTTAGTCCAAAGGAGTTCCAACTATTAAAAGTGCACACTTCTTATTCAGCTTATATCAATATACATGTAGATGCAAAATCAGAGTATCTAAAGAATTTTTGAGTTAGTAAAGAAAGAAAATCTTGTTTTAGTGAGTGTGGCAAATCATACCTTGTTGCTTTGTATCATTCACAGATCCATTCTCTATGCAGAAGAAGGAGTGGGAAGCAAAAGGTCTCATTGGCACAAATTTAAATAACAGGAACTTACTCAGGCAAAACGTAC